AAACTTAACCAAAACGAAGTCCCCCACTTGGAGGGTCGTGACATCCTCAAGAGCTTTAATCTGAAGCATTTCTCTTTCGCTGCTTTCAACATCTAAAATATCTTCGCTGCTTCCGCCCTACTCGCTTTATTCCTCTTCATCACTTAAAGAAGACTGTGGTGGAGTTGCCGGTTTCTGTAAAGATTTGTTTGTTGTTGTTCAACGGAACAACTTTTTTATCTTCCGAGCAGTTGCTTCAGCCTTTATTGCTTCCTTTTCTGGTGTGTCGATAAGAATTCTTGAACCACATTTCTGGACTAACAAAATTTCGCTTAGTGTTTAAATCGCAATCTTGTACGTGGGCTTTTGACATTGAGGCTTCCTCTTGAATATTTTAACGGTTCGAAATTTGCTCTTGCATGCCGGTTTTCGATAAAGATGCTGCATCTTCCAAAATTGTGCTCCAAAATTATTTCTCAAACAGATTAACATTTTTGAATTGCTTAAAACTGATTAGAAATGCGTATACATTGCATACATTGATATATAGTCCTTTTCTAGGGAAAACGTGTGAAGCAGAAATGTTCGAAGAGTGCTTTGGGAATGGTCCATTTATCTTCCGGATAAACGAGAATGGCTCTGGTCCTCAACTGCTGGCACAGGTAATTTAGTAATAGTAGTAGCGAAATCTCAAGTTTGAGCACAATCTTATATCTTGTTTCGACTTTTCCCAAAATACATCCGTTGTTGCTGAACTAACAACAATGCTAATCAAACTTCATCGAATGCGATATATCTAACGATACTAAAGAATCAGATAGAATAAGTTTTAATGTAACATCTGAAACTCATCCTGTGGTTTTCATGTCGACAATTCTCCATGTTTGTCTGACCAATGAATTTATTTAAAATTTTCCTTTAATATATACTTTCTGGTTACAACAGTGTCCTTCTGTACATGACACTTCTTTGACAATATTTTATTTATTTGACTTCCAGACATCGTTTGTTTTTCCTTTTCGTTTTCAGATTCTTATACAGCGTGTCACTACGATACCCTGAAAGGTCCGTAAATATATGATTCCGCGAAGCTATCACTTCAAATCTTAGAACGACACCACCCAAAACTAGCTCACGCTTCGTCCATCGTTCCGAAAATTCCAAACGCCTTATAAAAAAACGCGAAAACCCACCCGGGACTATCGTCGAAATGCACCGCATCCCGATGACATGAGCCTGAGTGACTACCTCATGTAGAGGGTATGACCAGGAAAATGAGACAGTTAGCACTTGCTTTGCGACTGCCCTATCCGAGAATCCATTCGTGGAGAACGATAGTCTTTTATGGCCACCGTTGGGGGGACCTTAGCGACCCTTGGGGAGGACGTAGAAGCGACCCAATGGGGTCTAAGTGCTGTGATCTTAGTTGATTTCCCTTACTCCTCTACAGAATACAAAACACATGATTACTTCAGAAAAAATGGTACAGTCTCAAGAGTAGCGGTTTTCAACAAAAACTAAAAAATGGCGATAACTCACAAGCCGCGCAGAATTATACAAGATGGTCCCCGTGAGCGGGAAGTTTTGATAATGTTGTAATTCCATAACTATGCACAGTTGGCTATGGATTGTTTTTTGAAATTACCTGTCACTGTATGCCATTTAGTAATCATGTAGTGATCTGGTGCGCAAGGTTCAGCTGTCAATGTCAAACATAAAGGACCAAAGCAAGGTGTACGAATGCCTGAAAATATCGATCGTGTAAGAATATATACTAAGTGACATATAAATCCGAACACCCAGTTTAAATGGTTTTATTTTAATAAAAGTTGGTGAATGTATTTATCTTACTGAAAATAACAAGTGAAAATATTTTCAGCCTTATCAGTTGGACATTCCGGTTTTTATACTGCTCTTTTTTAATTCACTAACGCTCTAAAAATGAATATTTCAGCCGCAGTACAGAATCAACGTTGGCGGATTTTGGTTCTTGACCTTTAGGATCGGTTACGATGCCTAGAGTACGGAGACCTGTACGATTTCGTCAACTTAGTGAGTTTGATAGGCCCTGTATAGTGGGACTTCGGGAAGCTGGACTTTCTTTACGGGCAATTGCAGTTAGAGTGCAAAGAAGTGTAGACACTGTGGTTAGGTGTTGTCAGGCATGGCTTCGAGAAGGCCGTACGCAAAGAGCAAGGGGCACTGGACGCCGCCGTAGAACAACAGACCGTGAAGGTCGCCTCCTAAGATTATTGGCCTTAAGGGACCGTTTCTTCACTACCAGGTCCATTGCAAATGAATGGTTTGCAGAACACGGAAGACCTATTGGCATGCGAAGTGTTTACCGACGAATGAGAAGTTTTGGCTTGTTTTCATACCGGCCACACTGGGTCCTCCCTTTAACTCGAGAACACCGACGTAATCGCCTTGAGTGGTGCAGACAACGGTCACTCTGGGATCAGGAATGGAACAGTATTGTCTTTAGTGACGAGTCTCGATTTTGTTTAGGCATGCACGATGGTCGTGCCAGGGTTAGAAGGCGACGTGGTGAAAGGAGGAATCCACAGTTTTTTGTTGAAAGACATGTTCATCACACTGTTGGAGTTATGGTTTGGGGTGCTATAGCTTATGGTTCCAGGTCACCTTTAATCTTCATCAGAGGTAATATGAACGCGCAGCGTTATATCCACGAAGTTCTAGAACCCCATATTTTACCCTATCTTGACACCCTGGCAGATCCAGCTTTCCAACAAGATAATGCCCGATCACATGTTGCAAGAGTCACAATAGACTTCTTTCAACATAATGATGTCACATTGTTACCATGGCCTCCATGATCTCCCGACTTATCCCCAATTGAGCACGTGTGGGATATGATGGGTAGGAGATTGCTCAATTTGCAACGTCCTCCTCAGACTCTAGAAGCACTTCGAGAGGAGTTGGTGGTTGCCTGGAATGAGATACCACAGGAGGACATTGACCACCTGATCAGAAGCATGCCTCGGCGCGTTGGAGAATGCGTAGCACATCAGGGTGCATCCACACATTATTAAAGGTCAAAGGGCTTTAAAGCAGTGCAATCATTTTGACATTTTTATCATTTACTTATTATGCTTCATTAAGTACTTATACAAAATTTTATTAAAATAAAACCATTTAAACTGGGTGTTCGGATTTATATGTCACTTAGTATAGTTTTGTTCTCAAATAATTAAATATTGCCTTTCTGAGGATTTCTGAGGACTTTCCATATTTTTTTTCAAGTTGGCATTGAACAGATAGAACACAATGGATTTAAGGAGCAATAATAGGATAAATTTTAGAAGTTCCTCTGAGGTAGAAAAATTACTAAAGATCGTTTGCGAAATCCTGAATCCCCCCTTGCTGACTGATGTATTTTGACCCAAAGGTCAAGGTCCGACGGACCACCTAGACAGACAATGACGAATAGAAGGATTAATAAAGTATCTATCACTATCCACCACCTCTGAGCCCCTAGACAGATTTCTAAATCCGCCCTCATATAGAACCATTTATCTTTGTGTATACTCGACTGGATAATTAAGGGCGTCTGATGGAATTTAAAGGGTGATTAGCATGAAATAGAAATTAAGAACGCAAAATGATCAGCAATGGGATAAGAAGTTTTAAATATTCCACCTCGGCGGTGTGGAACAGTCCACGTGCGTATGATTATTCTTCTTTATGACACTGCAGGCAATTATAAGCAACGCTTCTAATGCAACATTGCGACATTCTATTTTGGTATTAATTGTATACTTCCAGAATGTAATAGTCACGCAAACTTACTGTAGTCAGAATCACGAAAGATGACCTTTACGTCATACCATAAATTGTACTGAAGTAATCAATGGACGTACGTCGATGATAAAATCACGATATCAGGAATAATGACAACACATTTATATTATGATTTTGCGAAGTTAGGTTATTTCACTGATTATTTTTATTTTCATTCTACTTCATGGTTTTGAGTAATAATAATAATCTTAGTGCCGAGTTTTGAAAAAACAGTTATGATTCGAATACCTTAAGACAGAAACACCAAAGACCAAAGTATTATTCAAAAACAACCTAACCTGCTTTAACATAACCTAACTACTCATCTTTCAAATATGATCGATCATGCAACGTGAAAACATCGTCTATCTTTGTCGGATGAGTTATAAGATCGATGGCTCGAGATTTATTTTCGAAAATACAAAAGCTCAAAAATGTACTTTTACAAAATTATTACAATGTTATTATGATTGATGACAGCATCCCACAGCTGACTGAAAGCTTTCTGATGAAATGAAATGAAATGAAATGAAATGAAATGAAATGAAATGAAATGAAATGAAATGAAATGTTTATTATTCTTAGCCCTAAAGCTACTTCCTATAGTTTATAATAGTGTCTTACTCCAGTAATAAACAAAAAAAAAACAGTAATTCTAGATTCCCTTAAAATCATAGTAACTGCAACCACAGTAAATGCAACAATAGCAAATGCGAGATAATGACATACAGTTATCTTAACACAGAAAGTACATATATTATGCCATTTTATCTAAATACAATTGCTTAACCTTACGAATAAATATATTTACAGACGTCGCTTCTCTAATTTCTGTAGGTAATGCATTAAAAAGTCTCAAACCATCACTAAAAAGACATTTTTGCATATGGGATGTTCTAGCGAATTCTATGTTAAAAGTGTTACGTGACCTGATATTATATGCATGCCTCTCGGACCTCGGTATTAGATATTCCTGCAAGTATTCAGGCAATAAATGATTTTTTGTTTTAAAAATAAATAAGACATTTGACATTTCAACCTTTTGCTGTATTGAAAGCCATCCGAGGGATTTTAACATTAAATTAATAGGCGTATAACGTGTACAAAATAATATAGTGCGCATAGCCTTATTTTGTAGTAACTGGAGCCTTTGAATATCAGTTTTTTTGCATGATAGCAACAATGAAAAACAATAATTAAAATGTGGATATATGATGGTATTATATACAAGAAGACGACTCAGATATTCGCCTAAAAAATCCTATTTTTTTCCCAATTTTTTTACTAACATAATCAACATGCAATGAAAAATTTAGCTGAGGATCTAAAACTACGCCCAAATACTTCATACTAGATGCACTTTCAATTTGAATATTATCTATCTCAATACAAAATTTCTTTTCTAAAAATGTGTTACAGTTCTGCTTTGTCCCAAAGACCATGTATTTTGTTTTTTCTACATTCAACTTAAGCCTATTCACACATAACCAGTTATACAAAATTTCCAGTATTGAGTTTATACTATCTACAACTTGTCTAAAATCCTTACCGTACACATAAAGCAATGTATCGTCTGCAAATAAGCTCAGAAATGTATTTACTAAAACCCTGTTCAAGTCATTTATATAAAGTAGGAACAAAAGCGGGCCCAACACACTACCCTGAGGTACCCCAATTTCACTATCAATTGAATTTGACGCCACGTTATTAATCTTCGTCACATGACAACGGTCTTTCAAGTAGTTCATAAACCATTTTAGTGCACTGTCTGTAATCCCATAGGTCTGCAATTTCTGGATCAGTCTTTTCCTATCAATAGTCTCAAATGCACGTTGAAGGTCGATGAATACACTTAACACAATATTCCCGTCATGAATGTATGAACGCCATTTCGAACACACATACTGCAGCGCCGACTCGCACGAGTGTTTTTCCCGAAATCCCGACTGTCCCTTAAACAACAGTTTTCTTGCCTCCAGAAACTCCCGTAACTGCGCACAAACCTCGGTTTCCAAGATTATGTCTATCACTGGTAACAAGTTAATGGGTCGGTATTGTGCAGGTTTATTTGGTGAGGACACTTTTGGAATAGGCACTATAACACTAGTTTTTATTGCTTTTGGAACTTTTCCTGTTGTAAGGGATGCATTGATCAAGTGAAGTAAAGGGTATCCGAGTACACAAAAAGCCGTTTTCAAAAACTTAACAGTACAAATATCATCCGCTGTTGACTTGTTTTTAAGTTCCACTACCCTTTTTCTAAGTTGATCAATGCTTATAGTGTTGAAGCTTGACAGACCATCACTTAACTGTGGCAATTCTTGAAATGTCGGTGCAACTTTTGGTATTTTGTCGGCTATTTCCTTTATGCTTTTTGCATAAAAATTGTTAAAATTGTCTTGAACAGATCCAGCATCTTCCTCAAATTCCATATTATCATATGACAGAACATTCTTGTTTTTGCTGCCTACAACTTGCTTTAAAGTTTGCCACATTTTTTTGCTATCCCCCTTGCATTGGTCAATAGTAATTTCATAATATTTTTTCTTTTCGTTTCGAATAACACGAGCGTAAATGTTCCTTTTTTTCTTATACAGATTCCAGTCTGAATTTAATTTGGTTATTTTAAACTTTTTATAAGCTTCGTCCCTGTCTCTTCGGGCTTGGATTACGAACCTATTAATCCACGGTTGTTTGCGGGTTTGAGTTTTTTCAAGAGGTACAACTTTATTTATAGTTTCTGTAATATTTTTCATAAACTTTTCATATAATAGGTCCACATCTGTTGTTGAATAGTCCCAATCTTTTCCGTAGAGTTCAGCTATAATAGTGTTAATATTTTCCTTATTAAATTTTCGTTTATATTTCATTTCCTCTGTTTTAATCTCATGTTGCACATCCAATACGCAGCCTATAATTCGATGATCTGAAATTTGTGGAAAATCACCCGTGATTTCTTCAAGCAAGTAATTGTTAGTCACAATTAAATCAATCAGGGTGGCTGACGTATTTGTCACTCTAGTGAACTCTTGAACTATTTGTGTAAATCCTGCATCTGATACCATGTTTATTAATTTTTTTTGGCTTGGGTTCTCGGTCTCTAAGCGAATATTAAAATCTCCCAAAAAAATACTTTGATGAGTTGTAATCAAATCATCTTCCAGTAATTCCTCAAAAAATTGGAAAAATAAGTCCATGCTACCGTTCGGAGATCTATACAGTGATCCAACAATTATATTTTCCAATCCTAGCTGAACATTTAAGCATAAGAACCAAAAATGGCCGTGACGTACGACATTCTTTACAACTGTAGAAGTAACATTGTTTTTTACATAAATTATCGTTCCCCCTGTATGACAACTTTCAGCATGGGCAATGTAGTGACTATAGCCATTAATATTCAGTTCGCTATCCTCAAAATCCTCCGTAATATGGGTTTCATTAACACATAATATAAGAGGATTCTTATCCAGTACCAGCTGTTTCAATTCATCAACTTTTCGTCTTAAGCCCTGTACATTTATGGACAAACAAATTTCTTGAACATACGTTGATTGCTATTCGTATTTTGTTTTAAGCCTAGTCTTTTCTACTTGCCGAAGATATGAAGTACAATTTCGATCAAAAACAGTATGATTATATTCTATATTTTTTATCTTTAAGACATTGCTAATATATTCACAGTTGCTACAACGTTTATTACTGCTTGTACATTGATCTGCCTTATGATTGCCGGCGCATAGTGGACATGTAAATTGCTCTTGTTTGCAGAGATTTGCCATATGCCCGTATTTCCAGCACTTAAAGCATCTTAAAACGCTAACAAATTCATACAATAGAAAACTATCCCATCCAAAGCGTAATTTCTTTTGAGCAATAAAGTAATTAAATGCCTCATTTGATACCTCTAATAGCACATTAAAATGTTCCTTCCTACGAGGCTTATATTTCCTAACAAACGTTATTTCGCTTGTACCACACATGTCTTTCAATTTGTTTATAAATATATCAATCTCCCTCAGGTATTTATCATAAACACCAACAATAACAATTTTTGGTTTTTTAAACTCTGGTATCTGAATTTCGTACCGATCTGCTAGCGCGTTCCGGGCAGCCTCGTGTAGTTTTTGCATCGACTCGTCGTTTTCACATTCTATCTGAATCCCACCGTTAGCTGTATTTCTGACTCCGGCTATATTTATTTGAGATGGATCGACTTTGTTGGTCACATCTAACTTGGTTTTCACGCTGTTCTGTGACGAATTTTTTGGTTTAATTATCAAAGGCGGTCGTTTGGCTTTTACTACGTCACTCCACTTCTGCACGCTGGCATTGGGTGCTCTATCGTATAATGTTTTAACGACGCTGAAACACTCCTTGGTTTGTTCTAACACATCGTTGGTTTTTTGTTCAAGACTGTCCAATCTCCTCGATATTTTTAGGTTTTGTATAGCAATATTACTACAGTCATTACAGAACCAAAACAAATTCATAGAATCGGCAATACACTTACTGACATTATCTTTTACTTTAACACACACATTATGGAAAACTTTTTCACATAACTTACACTGAATTTGTTTACTGTTTACTATAAAATTATCGGTGCACACGGAACACGTCCGCACACCACTCATGCTGACTACTGACTGCACAGTTGTGTGACGTAATCTTAGTCTAATCGTATCAGCAAATTTTCCCCAAATAATTGTAACGTCTGGTTGTATTGGTGCAAGTTGTTCAAGGGGGTATTTAACACGTGAAACGCCAAACAAAATGAGAGAATAATGTCCTTCAGGCCAAAGCGCCAAAGTTATGTTTCCAACAAATAATGTGTCTAATCTACCGTCTAGGTCAACAGCTGACACAAGACGGAAACGGCATGTACTGAAAGAAAGAAGAAAAATCACATGAAGTCATGTTCTAAAGGATGTTTTTTCAAGTCACCGTTGGTTGTCAAAGCGGTCCGTGGGACCTTAGCTCTTGAGTGATAGTGTCAGTTTGTAAGTCTGTCAGGTCTGGTAACCCAGAAACCAGACAACTTTAAGGAAAAAAGAGAAGGAAACGAGAGAAGGAAGAACGAGAGAAAATGGGGAGAAGAGAATCTTTTAGTATAGGCAGCGTTTAGGCATTGTTAAAATCACTTCACAGATTTCGCATGTGTGTTTTAGCAATAAAACACCAAGCCGCTCATGCGTAAGTCATTACTGGTCTTATGACCACCTTATAGAGTCAAATCTTGTAAATCAAACTTAATTTTGAACGTTTACATAATAATGGGTTAAGCTGTCGAAACGTAGTTTGGTATTTTAGTTTTGTCCAGAATGACACCGAGACACTTAGCGGAGGATAAGAAGGAACATCACATGAAGTCAGATGGTATTGTAAAGGATGTTATAATGAAAAATAAGAAGTGAAATACCAAAAAACTCCAAGAATTACTACATATTGTGACAGTTGTGAAGGAAATCCCCACTTTTGCCTTGACTGAATCGGAACAAATCATAAATAAATGTAATTATCTTATATTTTGTATCCCTATATCATAACTCATTTTATATATGATGCATTTTCACTGGAATCTTGCTTATCTTTGTCAAGGTTGTCGTGTAGATTTAGTAGGAAATTGAATACAAACGCGGTCCATATGGACCGCGGTGGCGTGTTGGGCCGTTACCACCGAGAGTACAAGGCCTGACAACAGACGCGTGACGTCACCACGAGTAGGCTGGTCGGCCGCTAGTGAATAATATATTATTGCAGCATATTTAATATACTCTACCTGATGTATATAACAGATAATTCAGAAAAGTGTTTTTGGTATACGAAGGAAACTTGGTGGAAAATAGTTATTAACTATTTCCACCCTGATTTTCACTGATATTTCATCCAAAATTACGTGCACATTAGATTAATAAGTTGATGTTATAAAAGCTTGCTAAAAATGATAAATTCTTCAATGAATAACCCCATGTTAGTCACAACCGATCAACAAAATTTCACAGGAATATGTGGGCAATTTACTGTTATTATAGGTATAATATAATGGTACTTGAAAATTATATAAAAAATGTAGTGCTTGTAGAACAGTTGTGTCCAGCAAGAACCAACGAGGAGGTCTAAGGTAAGCTCTTGCTAGGAAAGGAATAAGGAAGATGAGGAGGAAAAAGTGTAGGATAAATGATAAGAAAAACAGATAAAATCAAAGTAAAATAAACAACAGAAAAAACATAGCAAAGATTAACGAAAACTTAATAAAAACTCTTAGAACAAACAAATAACAGCACAAAATAATAACAAAAATTAAAAAACAGAAAACAAGTAAAAAATTAGAATAACGAAAATTAAAGTGCTAAATTCTGAATATGTACAAATAAACATTTATATACAGCTATGTAAATGTTGCGGCCTCATGTGAATGTAGTCAATTTACGTTTCTTTGCTTTATTCGCGCTTGCGAAGCTGTCGTTCCTTTGGGCACAATAATTTTTCAAAAATGTATTGACTGTGCAAATAACAATTAGTTTTATAACATAATCTGGTGGATGGACTGTGCAACGCGACAATGAAGTGTCGTGATTATTATCACTCAGATTGATAATTATCAACTGAGAAAGAGCGCGACTCTTATCAGTGATTTCTAAAAATGATTCCTCGTCACTTTCCAAAACTTTATTGAAAGCTGTATAACTTAGCATGACAATATTAATAACTGGATCCTTTGGGAATTTTAAGCCACCTCTACTCAAATTCTGTATAATATTGTGCTTGTCTTCTACATCAATATCATCTGTGTGTGTCAAATTTTCCTTACAATGATCGCAGTAATTTTTCTTTAATAAGGCATAACAACAGTAACCAGCTAAGTAGGTGATGACAGGGATTTCATCCTTTATACTATCAATATCAGACTGTAAAATTTCAATTTCCCGGAAAAAGTGGTAATCATTAAAATTGTGTGGAATTTCATCTATTTCTAAATCATCATTTTCACAGAATTTATCTATTTGTATATCACCATAGCGAGACTTCAAAGACATCAGGCTTTGAGTTCGTAACTTTTCTCAGATTCATATAACTGACGAATTGATATATTATATTGACCCCCTTCCAGTTGACGATACTTACCAAATCTATTTTTCAATGAGTCAGTTTAAAATTTACCTAACAATATACAGGGTGACTTTGAAGTTGAGTCATTAATTTTCAGATAATGATTGTAGAAGGAAGATAAACCAAAATATGTGTGTAAAAATAAAAAAAATTAAAAAAAAATCTACCTTGTTTTATAAAGTATCCTCCCGACAAGTATTTCAGTGCGGACCTGTATTTGATCGTGAGGTCTTGGAGCACCGGCATGCCGTCCCCTGTGAGGTCTTAAGTCACCTGATTCACGAGCCCGTTGTACTACATTAACAAAGGCACGAGGGGTTGGTTGCACTCGATTGGGAAACTGATCCGCATAAACATGTGCCATTTTTGTTTTCGTTTGAGCCACGCAACAGACACCACTATTCACTCACGCGTTACCGACTGACACTGACTGTATACAACTGAATAAAGTAATTGTAAAAACATCGTTCCAAATTCTTTCGCTTTTTTGTTTCCGATGCGATGAACCGATAAGGCGGATTATATCCGTTGTCGCCAAACACGAACACATAATATTATTATTGAGACAGGGCGGTACTCAAACTTCCAAAGGGCTATAACTTTGTTACTTTAATTTTACCAGAAAAATGGTAAAGGAAAAAAACATTTCTTTTGATCAGATCTACTCACTGTTAAAATAAATGACTCAACTTCGAAGTCACCCTGTATAATTACTGTGCAGTTCAAATTTACAGTACCTTACTAATTCCAATAAGCCATATACCGTATGATGTAGTGCAATGTAAGTCTGACTAGTTAGTCTTTTTGAAAATTTTGCTGGATCATTCCACTTTTCTAGCCAATCTAGCATTTTTTGCAAGAATGTCAGCTTACTGTCATCACCTTGTCCATCACTGTTGGAGCAAACAATAGGCTCTGCATAAAGGTCATTTAACCGCTTTCCTTTCAATTGACTTTTTACATTGACAATTCTCCACCACTTCCATATAATATCTTTGAATTTTGCTGTCTCTTCGGAGTGCTGTATGTTTTTACCAAACCTTGATACTGCATCTATTACAAATGGGTTGAATATCTTGAGAGCTAAATGAACATTTTGTCTTTCAAGGTTGGTAGGATATAAGGATACTTAAGGGGTACAGTAATGGACCTACCTATCTTTTCGTCATGGAAGGTGGATTCCCAAATGATGCAAAGTGCAAATTACATACTCGGGTGTATTTTGTAACCACTACACCACTACGAGCGATTGCATTGAGCCATCTTTTACGACAGTTTTCGTTCAATGGAAACGAAAATACGTGTACCTTCGGACCCCTCCTGTAATTACCGACACAATTAGAAACGCAGCACTTAAGGCATTTTGAAAACTTAGCTAAACAATCGCGAGACACAAATATAAGTTTAAAACATCAATAACTTTCAGTTTACATAGCATAGAAAGATTAGGCTCAGAATGTGAGGTTAGTTGGCAAGGTTGCCACATATTCCAATTTTGAATGGAATATTAGACTTCACAAGTGACAGATTGAATGTAATATCGGAAATGTATTCTTGACATAGTGAGGCAGATCAGAAAGAATAATCACATCATCACTGAAGCTGCGCAGGCCCCGAGTACATCTTGCAAATACGCCCTCAGAGAGGTTCAACTAATTAGTAGAGATTTCGATACTGCTATATCAAACCTAGATATGACAACACCGCAGAGAAATGGTGGGAACAGTTTTTATTAGACAACAAAGAATAAGAAAATGTGAATTTTTGGGATTCAATCGAATGTGTTGACATGAACATACTTCTAAACGACAACAACAAAATTGGATTATATTGGTCAAGTTTTTTGAGAATTCCTAATTGTTTATCCCAAAAAACCTGTTTAACGGCCATCACTACTAGTTTATTGAGCAATATACAGGGGTCGTTCAAAGAGAATATAATAGCAAAGTATACGTACACATTTTATTTTTATGCGAAAGGCAAAGGTTAAGTTTTTTTCTTCTAAACAAATTCAAACATTGCATATTTGTGAGTAATTGAACAAATGCCCTACGATATTCAAAAAACATACGCATTTTAAAACAAAGAAGAAAAAACGTAACCCATTCTTTTTGGCCATAACTTTTTTGATATTAGTCGGATCTTTCTACGTGTCTCATAAATACCTAAAAATCTTGTATGGAGAGTTTTTCCGTTCCTGACAACACTTTCGATTGAATCCCAAAAAACACGATTTCTTATTTTTTGTTGCCGAGTAAAGAGTTTTTCCGCAAAAACTGGTGTACCCATTTTATGCGTCCATGTTTTAAATACCCTCTTGACAATTATCTCGCAAACCAGGGGTATTTTCCTCTAATATGATTAGACTATCTCGGAGGTC